TGTAAATAATTTTAATGATGTTCGTGCTTTATTTGATGGTTGACTCAAACAATTAACTACACTCATCGTTCAAGTTGATTGTATCAACAATTGGATATTAACATTTTACAACATGATGAGTTTATCATCTATGTTATTCTCGTTTTCTAATTAGTGTTTAATATCGAAGATAAAATAAAGTTAATTAGAAGTGCAATAAATAATGAGATTTCTGCATTAGTAAATATGAAATTTTTATTTTTATTATCAAGAAATAATTAGAATTAGATTATTATAGTTATTTTCGATGTTAATCAAGATTATTTTATAATTAATCATCATTCATATGAAAGTAGTTAATCAATCTTTGTAGTTATTAATGGAGCCGATAGAAAGTATTTTGTTTTATATGTTTCCTATTAATTATGTTGGAGTTATTTTTCTATGTTAACAAAAATTAAACATATAGTTGTTCAACATAAACTTTAATCAACCGAGTTTTCTTTTAAGCATAATTGACTTTTATTATTCAAATGAACATACTTATTTAAAAGCACTATTAATTTTCTTTACTAATAAATTTGTCTTGTAACATCTATATAATGAATATTATTAAATGTTTTGAAACATGCTAAGATAATTCATTCTTATATTATATTTGATTGTTTTGTTGAATTATTCACTAGTTTCTATGCGTCAGAACTTAACAAATACAAAGTAATAATATATTTTCTAGAATACCAGAAACATTTAAAAAGAGAATTTCTAAAATGAATAATATCTTGATCGATTGATGATTGATGTAAATTTATTTGTTATCTCAACTAATAAAGATGAATTCCTGAATAATTATTTACTTTCTATTTTTCAGAATAATCTACCTAATTTAAAATGTTTCTCATTAACATATTATGATAGTACTCGAGGACATGATAATCAAGTTTTACCTCTTCTTCGTTGAATGACACATCTCGAAGAACTAACTTTATATCTTCATATCTTTGGCGGATCGACATTCATCTCTGGTATTCATCTTGATAATGAAATTCTTATTCATATGCTAACTTTATACATTCATATTTTACATTGCTAATTCTACTGTTCGTGTATCTAGCGGTGAAATTCAAGGAACTTTCACCAACATAGAATATCGACAAGTGGCTTGTATGGTAGACTATTTCGAGTCTCACAAAATGATATGTCGCATTTTTTCACTTCCATTTAAATATGAATTTTTTGTTCGACTTGCTCGAGTTTTTGCATATCTTAAAAATTTATCTATTTTGGAATATAGTACGACTATTTTTGGGTCAAAGTTACCATCTTCGCAATAAAGACTGATTTTCAATTGTTGAGTACCCGCATCTTATTTCACTCGATATCGAAGGTGTATTTTGTTCATTATGTTGAATATTTTCTCAATGAAACAAAAATACGTCTACCTTGTCTAACTGAATTAAAAATCAGTTAAGCATCTTTGAAATATGTGTCAAGAAAACTTTACAAGAGATGAAACCACTAATTGTTGGACGTCTAATAGTTTATCCGAAAGATGTCTATTGTTATTTTCCTTTATTGTCAGTTTAATTTTGTGAAAGATATTATCTGAATAAAAACCTGTGGCGTAAAGTATAATTTTTTTTCTTACAAAATCAGGTATAGTGCAAAAAATAGGAGTCGTCTATGGAGACAAAATCTGCTATTGAAACTGAGTTGTTGTGAAAACAATTAGTAATACAATCTTACCTGTTTGTCGCGCATTATGATCAATAAATAAAATTGTATATTGTCGCGGCACAGCAGATATTTTAAAGACTTCCTTCTTATCACATATAAAGCATTTTTCAATCATCGTGATGAAATCTCATAAATTCTCGAGTTAGCAAGAATTTTCTTCTTTTTTCAGCTCCTGTATTTTATGATTAGTTTGTCATGCAAGAAGTGCAAACTTTTTTAATCACGTATGAACGAATAAGAATATGAGTAAACACTAGTATTTACGCGTGAAAAATTCTGATCAGGTTCTCTCATAACTGATAGATAAATTCCATGTGATACTAAAATATGTGAACTAATTATTAAAAAAATTCAATTTTTATTTCATTTAATTGAGAAGAGCAGCATGGTAACGAGGATCAAAATTAAATTCAATATTATTTAATTCTCCAATGAAAATAAAACAATTTTCTCACGCTTTATCTTTAAATCAATTTTTATATAATGAAAAAGTTGACTATTTATATGATTCTTTTTTTTAACAAGTGGAGAAAGTTATTAATAGAAAGGATAAAGAGTATAGAGTGATTCTTTCGAAAACGTATCAGAGTGTACATCAACTTTCTGCAAATGCAATGAAACTTTCAGCATTTGTGAGACTTCGGCCTGTAAGCATAGCCGTGGACTTGAAAAGAATTTCAAAATCTTGTGATGGGGGACCAAATAGAGCGATTGCGGTAAGGTGGGATCCTTCAGCCAACCTGGATCTTAGCTAATTTCTCTGTTTCAAATGATAGAAGTCTGAACATTTTATCATAGATACTACTTGTTGAGCTGATCATTTTTTGTAACGGACGCTTTTTTCTTCTGTGTTCTGTTTTTGGGCTCAAATATTTCTATGAAGCCAAAATGGATTTATAAATTTTATTAGTGCTTTATAATTGTCAAACTGTCCTCCATCCGTTGATGAAAACTGCAGATCTGTAGCTTATTCCTGGATCGAATAGAAAAGGAATCTTTGGGACCTATTGTTGAAAACTTCCCAATTTTGCACCTCCTCACGTATAATTACGGGATTTCCAGAACCTGCCCTGTAGTGAAACATGATCAGGACACCTAGCTCCATCATTTCCTGAAGTTTGTATCCTTGTCCAATGAGTTTGATCGAAAACCAACCTTGATGATTTTATATGGTATTTGTAACAGGTATTGTATTCAGAAAACTGTCAAGGTCGATTTTCGGTCAAATTCACTGGACAAAGACGAAAATTTCAGGAAATGATAGAGCTAGATGTGCTGATGATGTTTCACTATAGAACAGGTTCTGTGAATCCCGTGTTTATGTCTGAGAGGTGCAAAGTTGGAAAGATATCGAAAATAGATTCTAAAGATACCTTTGCCATTTGACCCAAGAATCAACTACAGACCTTTGGATAGAGGATAGTTTGATAATTCTAAAGCACTACTAAAAATTAAAAGTCTTTTTAGGCTTCATAAAGATATTTGAGCCCAAAAACCAGAACATGAGGAAAAAACGTCCACTGCACAATATGATCACCTCAGTAAGTAGTATCTATGGTAAAATCTTCAGACTTCTATCGTTTAAAATAGATGAGTTAGTTAAGGAGTCCTACAAACTCAGAAAGTTTCATTCCATTCGCAAGAAGTCGATGTAATTATGGAACGTTTTCGAAAGAATCACCCATAACTAAGACGAGAATCTAAATATTAAATAAAAATTTAAATAAGAAAACAATTATTTTAAAATAAACCTGATTTTGATACAAATTGTTTAACCATTGTTTGCCATGGTTTATGAAGTTTATAATAATATGTAGGAATATGCCTAGAAGGTGTATTTTCTTTTGAAGTACTAATATTTGGATGACGATATTTTCTTACTCATGTTCAATTTTAGTAGATGGTTTTGCTTTAAAAATATGAATTAATTCGATATATGTTGATGATCGTGCAATAAGTAAATTGACTTTGTTCGGAATGTTTTAATAACGAGACATGTTTGATCTACGTCTGCATCGAGATAGATAGATAGAAACAAGGATTTGTCACTACTAGTTATGATTATTAGTATAATTAGTGATTCGCTCGACGATGACGATGATGTACAAATGTGTCACTGACTGATGCGAAGTGAACCGAGCACATGTATTTATCTATTCTTTCGCTTTGTCTTTGTATTTAGACTATGGAAAGAAAAATGAAAGTGATATAACTTTCTTTTCATCTCGATATTTGTTTTGCACTGTTAGTTACCAATTTGTGTTATGTTGACTAGTCTATTTTATACGAATCTTGTTCTTTATATACATTTTAGTTAATTACATGCCGATATATCATCATTTATATGAATTAATACTTTTTTAAACAATTAAAGAATTGTAGATCATTTTAAATATTAACAGATTACACTCTTTGTTTTAAATAATAATTGTGTGTTGTTATACCTGCTATGTTCCAATGCAGTCAAATGAAAATTATTGCCGTAAAGTTTTATATAAGGCATTTGCTGGTCGTATGAAGTGAGCCAAAGTTGGCGTGAGCCTAAGTGGAGTCCATTAGTCCATACTATACCCATTTTAAATATATGGTACTCTGATACCGGAAGTGTCATTCCCATAACAGAACAATTGTGTTCTGTTTTGGGAATAGTACTTCCGGGTTGTGAGTATTATTGTTCTTGTGCCGATATTGATGGCACGCTTCGATGATTCTCCTTCCTCCTCCTTCTGTTCTCTTTCAATTGTTCTAATATATCTCTCTTCCTTTTTGTCGTGTTCTCTTCCCTTCTCTTCGGTTGATTGACGTGCCCGAAGCAGGGGAATGTAACTATAAAAGGAGAAGAATTAGTGAAATAAAGCAGTTCGATATCACGATAAAATCATCTGATCGTTACATGGCGACTCTGGCAGACCTTGGTCATTACATCTTGACCATGGCTGTTGAATCTTTGCAAATTCTGAACACAACTGATTTGTGTCAAAATCAACAACAAATCAACATCATGNTATTGGTTCTTTTTCATTTGGTGCTCAATTGTCTTATTTTTTGGTGCTCATTTCACACATAGAGAAAATCGGTGCTCATTTCACCCCTTTTGTCAGTGCTCATTTCACATATCGATAAATTTGGTGCTCATTTCACTCTTTTTTTGGTGCTCAAAACACACTTCATCGATCTGGTGCTCATTTCACTCCTTTTCTGGTGCTCAAAACACTCCTCGTCCAAAGAATCAGTAGATAAGTATATATATCGTGTTACGATAGGCGTTGCAACTACATTTAAACATGAATCAGCATAATGTTCATCTTCTTGATCTACCTAATGAAATATTATTTCTCATTTTGAAAAAACTTGACAATATTGATGTTCTTTATTCTTTATGGGATATCAACAATCAACGACTTCATATTATAGCACAAGAACAAATCTTTACTAACATCCTTAATTTTGTTTCCATATCACAATCAACTGATGAGATTTCTTCAACAATACTCAATCGATTTTGTATTTCAATATTACCAAGAATTCATAAAAATGTCAAATCTCTCATTGTTGATTCCAATTCTATGGAATGTATTCTTCGTGCTGGTAATTATCCTAATCTTACTGAACTTAAACTTTTTAATTTCAACAAAGCAATTGTTTCACGTTATTTTATGGGTAAGATATTCGTGTATACTGATCTTTTAAAAGATGAGCATACAAAAATATTGAAATGCTCACATTTTTGTAACAATATCTATATTTTTTGTTTAGATGACTCTCTTTGGACATATTTGTAAACAACAAATTACGAATCTCATTCTTATCATTAATGAAAACAATATTGAAATACAAAAAGCAGCATATACCAAGAATGTTTATGTAGTTATCTTAGCTTTCTTTAAAAACTTAAAGCATTTGACTATTGTTGAGTCATCATCTATTGACAATTATCCACGTTTATCGTCGTATGATTTATCGCCAACGACTTTTTCCTCTTCGACACTTACTAAATTATGTATCAATGTAAATAGTTTTGATGATGTTCATGCTTTACTTGATGGTCGTCTCAAACAATTAATTACACTCATTGTTCAAGTTTATTCTATCCACGATCAGATACCAACATCTTACAAAAGGGTGAGTTTATGTTTCGTATTATTCTCGTTTTCTCATTAGTGTTTAATATCGAAGATAAAATGAGGTTAATTAGAACTACAATAAAACAATGAGATTTCTGCATTAGTCAATAAGATGTTTTAATTTTGATTATTAGGAAATAATTAGAATTAAATTGTTATAGTTGTTTTGATGTTATTCAAGATTATTTCATAATTAATCATCACTCATCTGAAAGTAGTTCATCAACCTTTGTAGTTATTAAATGACCGAATAGAAAATATATTGTTTTATATATTTTCTATTAATTATGTTGGACTTATTCATCTATGTTAAAGCAAATTAAACATATAGCTATTTCCAACATAAACTTTAATCAACCGAGTTTTTCTTTAAGTGTTACTGACTCTTACTATTCAAATGAACATACTTATTTAAAAGAACTATTAATTTTCTTTACTAATATTTTTGTCTTGTATCATCCATATAATGAATCTTACTAAATGCTTTGAAACATGCTAAGAAAATTTATTCTTATATAATATTTGATAGTTTTGTTTAATTATTCACTAGTTTCTATGTGTGAGAACTTAACAAATACAAAGTAATCATCTTTATCATCATAATTACTAGATAATAGATATATTTCATAAAATATAAGAAACATTTAAAAACAATATCTAAAATGACTAATATATATTGATTGATGGTTGATGTAAATTTATTTGTTAGCTCAACTGATAAAGATGAATTTATAAATATTTGCTTGATATTTTTCAGAATGATCTACCTAATTTAAAATGTTTCTCATTAACGTGTAATCGTAGTTTTCAAGGATTTGACAATCTAATTGTACGTCTTCTTCATCGAATGATACATCTCGAAGAATTAACTTTATATCTTCATATCTTTGGTGGATCTAAATTCATCGCTGGCACTCATCTTAATAATGAAATTCTTATTCGTATGCCACAACTTCATACATTCATATTTTATATCGCTTCTGATAATCCCATTGCTGATCCAACTATTCGTGTATCTAATGATGATATTCAACGAACTTTCACAAATATAGAACATCGACAAGTGGCTTTTATGGTAGATTATTTCGAGCCTTACAATATGATATGTCGCGTTTTTTCACTTCCATTTAAATTTCATCTTCTTGAACGCATTGGAAATAACATTCCAAATATTGTATTTAATTCTGTTACTCATTTGAAATTATGGGACAAAGATGCATTCAAATATGAATTTTTCGTTCGACTTGCTCGAGCTTTTCCATTTCTTAAAAATTTATCTATTCACAATTTTATACCACCGTTTTTGGCTGACGATTATCATCTTCGCGATAAAGACTGGCTCTCAATTATTGAATATCCTCATCTTATTTCACTTGACGTCGAACTTGCATATAGTGATTATGGCGAAAATTTTCTCAATGAAACAAAAGCATATATACCTCATTTAGCAGAATTAAAAGTCACTTATTTCGCTTTGGAAATTATGACAAAAAATTTTACAAGAAATGAAACACGACGTAATTGTGCTGGAGTGAGACAACTAATTATTGAAGGTCTAACAGTTTATCCGAAAGATGTCTATTGTTATTTTCCTTTATTGTCAGTTTAATTTTGTTCTAATATTACCTGAATAAAAATCTCTGATCTAAATTATAAATTGGTTGGTTTCACAAAATCAGGATAGCAGTTAAACGATTTCATTCATTTTCATATTTTCTTTTTAGAATATTTTTTTTCACTGACGTTGAGGATCACGAACAATGATTTCAACATGACCTATTTTAAATTGTTTTTTAGGAGAATTAACAAATTCTGTTTTCATATCAGTTCCATTTATTGGTGATTTGTCACTGGATGTTATTTCAGAAGGAGTTTCGGTTGTTATTGAATCTGTTGAAGGAAATTTTAATTCTTCTCGAGATTCAACAATCATTGCATTTGATACAACTGGAGAATATACATTTGTTGTAAGTGTCCATTCGGTATTTGTTGGAAGATTACTTACGGAATAACAATTTGATGGAAGATTAACATAACTATTTAATAAAGCATTCCCGACAGAAATACTTACATAAATGAAGTTCAGTAAAAAAAAAGATTCTGTGGAGATAAACAATATGTGCGAAAAAAACAATGTTTCTAGCTGCTTATATTTACTTATCGGTTAACAATTTTTTCTATTAAACTTTCCGTCTGTTTTAGGCTCTCCCCCTCAAAAATCGATCTCAGTCCAGGCACATCCAACTTGTATGAAATTTTCAGGATATGCTGGGGCTACAATGAGGAGCCTGTAGTAAAATTTTCAGCCCTATTCCATGTAGTTTGAGACAGATATCCACCAAACAAGGGTAAAAAAAAGCTCATTTTGAGGTTACCTCATCTCCAAAAATTCTCTGTGGACCCTTATTATATATATTTTTGGATTTGGGTGTGGGTGTGGATCAGGGTCAAGAGAAGAATTATCTTCACACCCAGACATCCTACACTCACCCACACATCCCACACCCCTACACACAACCATACCCTCTTGTTAAATCAGCACGATTATCTAAATAAGNTCGCTTGTTGGCCACGAATATGTATAAAATTGTGGTCACTATAACTTGTTTGTTGCTAAGCACGGTCTCTTTTTCTTTCATCTATCTTTCTCAAACGTTTTACTGGTACGTACCAGTAAAATGTTTGAGAAAGATAGATGAAAGAAAAAGAGACCGTGCTTAGCAACAAACAAGTTATAGTGGCCACAATTTTATACATATTCGTGACCAACAAGCGAATTGGGAACATGGCTCATTGGATAGAAGCAGCAAAAAAAATACCATTTTTCATCATTCATTCAGGCGTGAAACAAAATTTATCCGATACATTTGTACGAAGCATCGAAATAAGAATAGAATAAACTCTTATATCTATTGACTATTTTAGTTGAGCGGTTTGTGCGCATATCTTCTACTCTTATGTTCTCATGTTCGAATCCACCTCTTGAATTTATCAAAACTAATGTAAGTTACCTCCATAGTTCAATGAATTAATGTAAACGAGTATACGGATCGTATCTGCAAGTTGATTTCTACGAAGTACTTGGTGATTCTTTTTTTTCCTCGCCAACAAAGTATGCAATATCACAGTTTCAGAAACACTGCGAAATGCATTTAAGAGACAACCGTTTCGCAACGTTTATTGTAGCAGATGCGGAACGCGTTAAACCGGCCAGCATTAACGCGTTTCGCAGCTATGGAAAAACGCGTTTTTTTCGCAGAAATTTACGCCATGGGTAGTCTTAAGTAAAAGTATACAGATCTATGTTTTAAAGTAGCAATTCTTCCTTGTTTTTTTGAAACTTTAGTCTGGAACAGAAATAGCAGCAATTAAACCGAAATTCTTATCAGAATTGTTATGATAAGACTAACGTCTGAAAAAAAAACTTTTTCAAGTTATTCTTAAAGAAGCTTTTTTACATTTTTCCTCATACCAATTTTCAAAGTGGTATAATGTTCTGACTAAACAAATAACTCTATTTTTTTCTATTTAAGATCAAATCATTTATATATGAAAGATTACGAATTATAATAAACAGAAAACATTTCATAATTCATAAATCTATTAAATCTCTAATTATTAGGACAGTAAAGACTTAAATAAAGACATAAAACTAGAAAACTTAAAGTATAGATTATAGATGATATTGATTGATTGTCGATTTTTTTCCTACTAGAAAAATGAAAAATAAAAACTGTTTTGGAAGAAAGAAACAATTGATTTGTAGACTATTCTAGTTCGGTTATAGAAAATCTTTTATATAAAAATAAAAAAGAGAAGACATTCATATAAACGATTAAGTAAATTGTTTAAACATATTATATTCTAACCTGTATTAAATTTAATTTTTTCTGCAAGTTATACAATAGATTCTTTTTCAGTTGTTATTGATGTTGTTCTCTTAAGCAAAAGCATAGATAAAGATGCATTGCTCTTACTCTAAACATATTAATTAATGGTGTCAGATTAACTTTTCCAAAAAGGTCATAAATAAGAAAACATACGGGAATAACATGAACGAATGTACCTAATTCATCTTGTGTTTGTTGTTTCATGATCTTGTCCATAAATAATAATTTCATAAATGATATTTAATGTTGAAAGATAATCATCAAAAACTTGTCGGCATTGGTCAGATGTTAATATAAGTAATGGTGATGAATGAGATTGAATTATTTAGAGACTATATCATATTAATGGACGATTTCTAACAGATAATAAACATGTTGGTATAGATAAAACAGTATATAATATTATTCTAAGTTCTTTCATTTTATTTTTATTTTAAAAAAAGTCTTGAACAAATAAATTGATTTTATGTACGAGAAAATAATTTTGCATCATACCATACATTTATCTTCACACAGTTAATATAAACACTATAATATAGAATCAAAATTTAAATATAATTTTTCTCTGTTGAAATAAAAAATCATTATTTCATTCTATTATTAATTATTTTAAAATTTATTATTGAAAGTAATAATAAATATTCATTTGATAAAGATAACATATATCTTAGAGATTTTAAAAATAAATGCGAACGAGTTGGTCCTATTTTTTTGTTTTTGCTAATGATCTTTTTGTTCTAAATTTAAACACATGAATGACAAGAGCTGCAACAAATGTAAATAAAAGTACTTTTATTGTTTTTGTCAATAATGAAGAATTTAACTATGAACTAATTTCATATGTATAATTAGGACATGAAACCAAATAAAATAGATCACGAACAAGTAAATGACTTGATAAATTATCAATTTCATTTAACCTAAAAAGATTGTTTTTAAATTTTACTTTAAAAATAGCTAAATCGAAATAAATTCGAGTATAATCAAATGATATTCAAGTATATTTTGGATAATTAACAAAATATGAAACAAATGCAGTAAAACTTCAATAATGATTACAAATCTAATCGAAAAATAAAACTTTGTATTTACATTTAATAGATAAAAAAATATAAATATTGTTGCATGAGAAAAACGATGAACAAATATTGTTTCTAACATACGTTCTACATCATGAAATATTCAACAATCAGTATCCAAACTAAATAATTAAAAAAGAAATTGTTCTTTTTCTTTCAAATCACATTAACTAACTGACCAGTAAGATGCATTAATTTTGAAGCAGCTGTGGAACCACATATTAAGAATTGTTCGAATATAAAATAATAAATAGGTGAATAATAGACCTGCATATTCAGCAATAAATATATGAAAGAGACTTTTTTTACTATGCTCCATCCAATTTGTGATCATAAATCCTTAAAATAAATTTTTTTGATTTTATCAACATTTAATTCAGATAGTTTTTGTGTATTTTCCAGCTTAAATATTAAAAAAATGTATTCAATAGAAATTCATTTTCATTAATTTTTAATCTTTTCTAACTTGGTTCAGTTCGATATGGTGGACGATGAGGATAAAGTTTTCCTTCTAAAAAAACAAGAGACTTTTTATTTCTATTTATGTACTTAATAAAATTTACTTTTTTGAGCAACTCGTTTTTAAAATTCAGCAACTGTTGCATCTGCTAAGTCAATAAATATATACCATGTCGAACAGAATAGCAGATGGGTACGCCTCAGCTTGTGTACGACACATGAACAAAACGCGTGCTAAATATGCTGTCTGCACGTCATATATACCAAGAAATACTCTCTAATAAAGAGGGTAAGTAATCAGAGAATAGCTGTATAAGAATATGTATATATTACGAAGAAAATCCTTAGATTTATCTCACAATATTTCTCAGTAAAAGAAAGAAATTTTATTTTTTCGAATAAAAAGTATATTAATTGTCACATAAAATCTATAATGTTTTAGCTGCTTCATGATTAATGCAAACCCTCAACCTATATTTTATTTTTATTCTTTGAAAATTTATTCTCGACTAAATCATCAGTCAAATTTCATACTTCCATCTAAATTAATTCAAAACAAAAGTAAATTAGTTGTGCGTTAAGGGTGTGTAGATGTGGGCGTGACAGAATAGAAGATGCACGTCCACAGCCACACCATTTTTTGCTTTGCGCTTTAAATTCTTTTTCATCGACACACTCTGTTGTGAAGGACTATATATCGCAACAACAAAGCATGAAAAATAAACTGCATGAGACAATTGACTATAAACAAGAGAAAAAGTTCATATTTTGCACAAAGAAATTAAGTTCATAGAAAGTCTATACGCCAATATTTAAGTCTATAAAATGTGGAATACTTGACGCCGTTCAATAATGAACAATGAATNTTATTTTAATTTAGTAATCATTTTCGTAAAAGTTTTAATAGAAATCATACACAAAGAGTAGCGACACCTCTGATCGATCGAAAATTATGCATGACTATTTTTACACATTATGGGGGCGTATTTCATTCTCTCATTGGCTTATTTACTCTCTTAGTGTGTACGGGTCTATTTTTAAAGCGAAATTAAAACTGTTTTATTTTTGTAGTCTGTCTCAGGCCCTATATGAAGCTACGAATTATTTTTGCTTTTAGTCTTATCCAATCTATCCTTGAAATTTCTTTTCTTTTCCTGTTTCATATTTCTAATCTTATTTCTTATACATACTGTTTTCATTAATTCTTTTCGAACGTATTAATTAGAAATCTCCATCGAATCAACTTCATGATCTTGCAACGAATGTATTAACATGCACAAACAGGAACAATAATAATATTACTTTCATTTTATCCTTGTTTTTATTTCATATATATACGAGAATGAAAATTAATTTAGAAAAGAATTTCTTTAAATCCAATCAAAGGATATTAGTAAAACAAGCGAACACCCACCAAATCGAGAGCTGATATTATCAGTAGATAGATCTCGCCAAAATGATTGAACATGAGAAAAATTTCCCAATGCACACTGATTTTTTCAATCTACGAACACCCTTATCTTTTGTCTATTAGTAGACCTACTTGAGTTTGGTACATAGCCAAAATATTAGACTTTTATAAGTTTGTCTAAGAAAAATAGCACATATGCATTTTCTCCGTTGGAAGTTAATGCAACGTTTCACGTAAGCTATGACCATTAACATAGAGAAACTATAAAATCATAATTGTAACGTTTTTCTCTATTCAACAGATTTGTAGAGGAAACAGTTTTCTGCATTGTCGTGCAAGCTATTTGGATATAAATATTAAACGCTCGATTTTTTATGGATGTTTTATCAAATGTCCTATGTCAACTTTTGACTAATCGGTACCTTGATGGAACATATCTCAACAACGGCTCGATCGATTGAGCTGAAATTTTTCGTGGATATACAGGGTGACCCATAAGTAACACCCCAATAAGAAATTTAAATATCTTCGCCAGATGTCGACCAAACGAGCTGAAATTTTTACCAGTGATAGAGGTGTATTTAAAGTTTATATTCATAAAGACATGCCTAGAGAGACTCTTTGTTAAGTATCACTATTCACCTCAACAAAAAATTTACTTTTTCACAGATATTTATTAAATAATTGGACTTCAATTATAGCACAATGGTTAAAACTTGATTATTCAATTTGTCAACAATATATTCAACAAACCAATACGCATCTATTAGATAATCACGATTAAACAACATTTTATGTTTGTTTATTAATTTATTTAGACTCGATGTTTCTGTTTTGTTATTGTTTTTTGAACTCTTAATTAATGAAATAAAGGAAAAAAAAACATTTTTTTTTGAACGAAATTCTTATTTCATCCATAAATGTTTAATATTCTACAATCCTTTTTTTATCTGAATTATTTATCAACGAAAAGAGTTTAAGTTGGAGATTTTAATGAATCTCCACATTAATTTTATTATACTGACGAGTAACAATCTTTAACATAAACATTATCTAGTAAAACACAATTAACTATTTTACATTCATTTTCAATTTGACAATTTTTTCCAATAATAATTCGTTTAGCTGTCGTTTTCTTTCCAATAACATGTCCATCACCGACAACATAATCAGGACAAATCTGGAATTATATATATATATATATTACATTCTATCTCTATTTTTAATAAAAATGCAAGTTTTAATATTTAAATGGATAAGAGATATTTTACATCTATACTCCAACATTGGATTTTGTTATTTTAATTTGTACTATGTCAAATTCAGTGGTAATATAAGTATAGAAAGATCTTTTGAAATAAACAAAACTTTACTTGAATCTGTTCTAATCGATCTTTAAATGTAATATCTTCATTGGTATATGATAAAATGAGTGATGATATCTTAAAAATACAAAACACAAATATAATGATAATAAAGTAAAATAATGTTAATAACTGATTTGTTGATTAACTTCAAGATATGAAAGAACATGTTTAACACGAAAAATTTGTGCTTCATCAATAAAATAATAACAACCTTATCTAAATTAGTGACTATTTTTTTAAAATTCAATCAAATTTCAATTTCAATAAAAGAAAGGAAAAAACTAAAATAAAAACAAACCTTTTTATCTCATCACCATCGTTACATTAGCAGATGTTGAAATGAGATCTTCAAGTAATTGACCAGTTGCCATTCGTTGAATCATTTCTGGTAGAAATTGTTTACGAAATAATGAATAGTTTGAATGAATAGCAATATCCAAACAAGATTTTTTTATTAAATATAAATGAGTATCAACTAAATCTTGTCGAGTAATTGTTCGAGGATATCTTATTAAGAAAATAATTTATTTTATATTAACAATATTATATTATTATCTTACGTAGCAAGAATATTTTGTTTTAATAGAAGATATTTATCTGATTCATCTTTTAATCGTATTGATATTAGTTGATTGATCAACTGTATAAAATCCAGGTAGTATTTCAAAAAATAATTCGAATAATTCATTTATAGATGAATTTAATAAGTTTTCGTTTTGTATTGTCAAATTCCTTGTTCAAATATTAATTTGAATAACAAAGATTTCACCCATTCAATTTCAAAAAGTTCGTCATAATGTAATTTTAAGAAAAGTATACAGAGCTATATTTTCATATTCGATGTTTTAAAGTAGAATTTCTTCTTTGTTTTATGACTAAATAGAAATGACAGCAATCAAACTGAAATTCTTATCAGAATTGCTATGATAAGACTAATGTCTAAAAAAAAAGAAAAATACTTTTTCAAGTTTCTTTCAAAGAAAACTTTTTACATTTCTTCCTCATGTCAATTTTCGAAATGGTATAATGCTCTGACTAAATAATTTTTCCTATTTATGTACAAAAGATTACGAATTATAAAAAAAAACAAAAACATTTCAATTCAAAAAAAAACTGTAATGACACTCGAGACTTAAATCAAGACATGAAATTAGAAAATTTAAAGTTAAGAGTACAGATGATATTGATTGATTATCGATTTTTTCTATTAGAAAAATCAAAAAATAAAAACTTTTTTTAGAAGAAAGAAGCAATTGATTTGTAGACTATTCTATTTAATTATTTAATTACTTTGATTACAATTTCTTTTAATTTAAAAACCAAAAAGAGAAGACATTCATATAAATGATTAAGTAAATTAATTAAATATATTATATTCTAACCTGTAGTAAATTTAATTTTTTCTCCAGATTGTACAATAGATTCTTTTATTCAGTTCTAATACGAAAATAACATGAATGAAGAACATCTAATGTACCTAATTTATCTTCTGTTTGTTTTTGATCATCAGTTGTTGATTCATGATATTGTCGATAAATAATGATTTCATATGTTATATTTAATGTTGAAAGATAATCATCAAGAACTTGTTGATATTGACCAGATGTTAATATAAGTAATGGTGATGATGATAATGATGAATGAGATTGAATTATCTGAAGACTATACCATATTATAGGACGATTTCCAACAGGTAATAAACATTTTGATATAGATAAACGACTATTGCCAACAGCATATAATATTACTGTAAATTGTTTCATTTTATTTTTATTAAAAAAAATCTTTGACAAATAAATTTATTTAACTATTGAAACAAATATATTTTATATATAAAAGAGAATAAAGAGATTTTGTAAATCATTTCATTTAATATCTATATTGAAAATTTGTTTCATAAGAAAAAAAGTGATGTAGTATTGAATAAGACAATACATTTATTTTCACACAATTCATAGAAATACTAATATGAAATCAAAATTTAAATATGATTTTTCTCTCTTGAAATAAAAATGATCATTTCATTTATTTATTGAAAGAAACAATAAATATTCATTTGATAAAGATAAATAATATATTCTAGAAAATCTAAAAGCAAATGCAAACGAAGTGGTTTTGGTTTTTTTTATTCTTTATTATAAAATTATAATAACAGAGAAGAAATTCATTGTTTTATTTTATTATGTGTTCTTTTTGTTTGTTTTTTCTAATGATCTTTTTCTTCTAAAGTTCAATACAAAAATAACAAGACACACAAGAAAGAAAAAAAAAAGAAATTAATTGTCTTAA